TAAAGTTTGAAAAATCTTAAAATATGAGAATATGTATACATTTCTAGAAAGCTTTTCAAAGATACAAAATGATTTTGAAGTTGAAAGGGGTAGGATGATAATAGAAACATTATAAAACCCTAGGTATTTTGGTAAATAGTTTAGAAGTATAATGGTAATTTTATCTTTTTCATATATATACAGATATCTACAGGTAACCCGTTCTCTAAATCTCTGAAACCGAAATCCGTATTCGTCATACGAGTTTTTCCCTTTTAATACCCATTTTCGTTTTCATTGAGTGTCGAGTACCCATTTTTCGAGTACTCGTGAGACCAGATATCCGCAAACCCGCGAGTAATGGATTTATATGCTCAGCTTTAATTTCATGTCTAAACATCATTCGTTCATTGTGTCTCGCATATTTGACGATGCACCAGGATCCAAAGATTAGAAAACTAAAGATACAAATGTCACAAAGATACCTAAATCACACACTTAGAGAGAGAGTTTAGAGAGCAAAATCCAAGTTTTCAAGGTTGATTCAAGAGAAGAAGATGGAGAAGAGGAGGAAGAGGAAGATCATGCTCCTAAATCACTAAGCATCCTTACAAAAATGGATTGATCACCTATATGTCACCTATCCAAGGCAACCTCTCCATCTCCAAATGGTACAATCATCTAATCAAGTGAATATTTTCCAAGTATAATTCCATGTCACTATGCAAATTAAACTATAGTGTCAATTAATTCAAGGGGCCAACAAGAATCAAAGCATTAAGAACATTCATTCAAACTAAAACATCAAACCAACGAGACCAAATATTCAATACACACATAAATCCTTATACAAACTCAAATTCTAAACTCATGAAGGGAGTTCTCACACAATTCAAGAGAAACAACAAGATATATCAAAGGGATGATCTAAGAGCGGCGTCCCGATTCGAACTGATAATCGCTTGGTCGGTCAACTTCAATTCTATTTTTCTGATATTTCATGCATGAGTTCATCTCTATTGGTATGTGACCATGTAGGCCCATTCGCAATGACAGTACCCTTGAGAATCATTCCCAAGTAGCAAGATGTCATGATCAGTCACATTGAATTAAGTTAGAGGTGATCTAACATAGGTAGTAACATCTCAAGTTTTGACCATTTATCTCACGATATCATATGTTGAATAAGGGCATGGAACTAATCATCCTTCAAATTCAACCATTTGCTCATTTCGCAAATCGACTAACAAGATAGATAAATGATTCACACTTGGATTTTGCTCTCTAAACTCTCTCTCTAAGTGTGTGAATGATGATCCTAAGCCTCCCCATGATCCTAAGCCTCCCCTTCGTGCCCCTTTTATAGCCAAGAAAAGGAGAAAAACATTTCCCTATTTTTCTCTCCATTTTTCTCCATGCTTCCCGAACTCCATGTTTTGAGAAAAGATGTTTTTTTATCGCTACAAAAGTATATAGTTATAGTGTTTTCCTCATAACTTTCGGCTCTAATGTCAGATTGAAGTGATCTTGGTGTCCAAATGTAGCTATCGAAGAGATCTTTCCAATGATGTAAAACACACGTAATTTAGACTTGTATGGAGAAAGCTATATGGCTCGAAATGGCTCACTCTTGCACAATTCGTCATCAGAATATAGACTCATAATATTTCATCACAACTTTATGAAACAATATCGGATTAGAATGATCTTTTAGTCTGTGCGTAGCTATTGAAATCTAGGCCAGATCAGTTTGGTCTGATTCAACACTCTAATCTGGCCCAGAAAGTAGTTTTGAATTTAAGTTTTTTCGCGGATGTGATCCGGACCCGATCAGTTTTGAAGCATTCGGAATCCTTCATAGAGATGTGAATACATGTAAAGAGGTTGTGCTTTGCTTTTAGTCTTAGATGATTAAAACAGGTCTTGCATCGTTTATACTTCAGACTTCTTCAAATTCGAGGTATGTTTTTTATTCCTACGATGATATACACGACTTTTGAGTTTGTGCATTTGATTTTTGTTTAGGTTTGATTTCTTTCCGTGCATAAAACTTAGAAACAAATCCTAACGCTTTTTGTTGAACTTACATGCTAGAAACCCGTTAAAAACCCAACAGTTTGTGTACTAATCTCATCAATATTAATTCATTCATTCACTTTCATTCTATAACTTTCTCGAATAATATATTTTCTGTTGTTAAAAACCCTAACAACATTCAATAAAAATGACATCATATCGAAAAAAAATTATATCAAAAAGTCTTTGCAACTACTACAATAACAATTAAAGTTAGTGAGAAAAACAATGGATACTGGCAATTGATATTTATCATTATCTTGAGATATCTTTTTAAAGAAATTTGTTAATTGAATTCTCTATCAAATCAAACATAAGATCAAATAAATTTATGAGTATAAATATATAGAAACAAACAAAAAAATAAAAAAGATACTTCAAATAAAAATCATAACACTCATATTTCTTTTTATTTTGTTGTTCTTAGTTTTTTGTATTTGATTATGATGTTTTTTATTTGGCAAAAGAGAAGAAAAAAAAATATATGAAGATAGAAGGGAATTAAAAAAAGGCAAAAGAGTCAATATGAATTAGGAAAAGAGGTAATGACGGGTAAAAAAAAAGGGATTATGTAAATTTCAAAGGGGATATTTTTAAAAATTATATTAAAATTATAAATAATATTTTTTTAAAATGACAACCGAGCCGATGACCCCACTTCCTAATCAATGCATCAATGTGTGCATTAATTAGTTCAACTGGTTTCCCGTATTTCTATAAGTATTTTGACGGGTTAGACATTGTTAAAAAATTATGTTAATTACGTTGGATGACACGTCAGATGTCTGGCGTAAAATGTCATATATGTTTACAATCACATGGTCATATATGTTTACAATCATGTGATTAAATATGAAATATATACAACTTTTTTTTTATAACCAAAAGTGTTGACACATAACTTTCGTACATGTGTTCCTCGAATGAATAGCAAAGTTGGAGTCATAATGATATACCATGGCGACTTTAAATCTTCATCAATGACTATTTCGGTGTACGTTTCGGAATCGAACCGTATAAAACCGAAAATTTTGATATTTTTTTAAATCTTACCATTCAAAATTTCTGAACAGTATGTTTTTATAGAATCGAATTTTTCGAAACAACACTTTATAAGATTCTCGAAAAATCAAAATTTTCTTAAGAAAATATAATTTTTTTTAATAAAAACCGAAACCGAAACTGGATCGAGCTGAACTGAATAGAACCGAATAATATACAGTATTAATTTGGTATAAAATTTAGAATATCAAATAAACTATTTTCAAATCGAACCGCTAAAATTTCGAATTGAATCTCGAAACGTCCGCCGCTAATGAATACCATCTTTGCAGCGTCATCCCAAGACCACTGATATAATTGAAAGAAGTTACAGTGAGATTTCTGTACATCTAAACTTAGAACCTCATGCAACCGCATTGAATATGGATCTTACAATGTACATAGCTCATTATGGACATTTTACTATAAATAAGATGGAAAATGAGTAGGAATTGAGGAGATAACATGAGTTCATAATTGAACCGGATTAAGTAGACAAAAATGGTATATTTAATGTTCATAATTACAAGTGGTTGAACGGTTTTATGAGACTATCTAAGGGTTTAAACTATCTTTTATGAGAGGATCTTCCGAATATTTGACGATCTCATATATACCGATATAAATGATAACTCATTATTTTGATAAACCGGTTTGTCGGATAGAAGAAGATTATATAAAGACTTACTCAAAATCCAATTTTTCATATTCCGTCGTGGAAAACACAAATTTTTCTGAAGAATTCTTCATAATCATATATGATCCATGGATAATGTCATAAAAAATAATAGGTATGGAAAATTATCCAAAAATTATCAAACTTAGATACTTACTATTTCTAATTAGTTATTCAGATTATAATTATAAATCCGGTAATTACTATGTTACTAAATTGTAAATTTTTATTATATTGTGAATTTTATAAATATAATTGAGATAGTTTATTAAAATTAATGTGGATATATAAAAATACCTTCTATTTACTATTTTCACTTCAACCTATAATATTTTCTAAATATAACTATGTGATTAGAAAAGATATTACAGTCACATCGTTATTATATTGGTCAATACATTAAATTTATAATAGTTTTACCAAATGATCAATATGATATAAGTTATAACCATGATAATTTGCTACGATCACTATAATTATGATTTTGGTCACATCATTACATATAAAGGTTTATATATAAAAAAGATATGGATTGAAGTTAACATGATTATATATAAAGGTTTATATATAAAAAAGATATAGATTGAAGTTAAAATAGGAAATGGAAGTTATTCCCATTAGAAATATTTGGAGAAAACTATATCATTTTGGTTAATATATGAAAAAGGTAAAGATATTTTTTATATTTCACGATAAAAATACAGTTTAAAAATATGCAAAATATTATTATTATTATTTTTATATATCTAAAGTTCATCGAAAAATAAAGTGTAACGCTTCCCCGGCGTCGTTTTCCAGACGATTTATTTGGGGAAATATTACTCAAATAACTCACTTGGTTCGCAGCAATTTCAGTGTACACCATCGAAATATTTTTTTTTTTCAATTTTAACCCACTTTTCGGTTGGAAAAATCCGAAATACCCTTTTCTTTTTATTTTTTGCGACCTTATTACGACTAACATATAACTGATATACCACTAAAATAAGATAGATGATTTTTTTGTCACTTTTGTTAGAATCAATTATAACTATATTTAGAATTAATTATGAAATCGTAATAACGAAGTTGTTTTCGAACGGATAAATATCGTGTATTTATTAAGGGTAATTTTGTCTTTTCAACCAAAAAAAGTGTTTTTTTCTGGTGTAGACGTGAAATAATAGGTGCGACCGAAGTGAGTCATTGGAGTAAAATTCCTTTATTTGGTCCAGTATAGCCCCATCCAACATTATTATCCCACCGGTAAACAAATCGTTTATCTCACGACAGGAGACAGTAACCCTAATGTCGAACGGGCATGAACCCAAGAAGAAGACAGTAGCACCATTACGCGCCAAGAGTCATCTGAAACACCCACAACCCTAGATCTTCTGAAGTTTCGAATTTCAAGATGGTATGATGAGTTCTCCAACTTTTATATTCCCTCTTTTCTGTTGAATCAACGATTGGGGTTTTTCATTCTGTATGGGCTTTAATCTTTCTTTTTTCAGTTCTCGATTGCAGCGATCAATGATACAGAATCAAGAGACCAGTGGGAGCCTTTGGCTCCGAGCAAAGAAGCTCAGGTTCTTTGATTTTAGGCCTTCCTTTCTTTTTGTTGAATTTTTTGCAGTTGGATCAATTCTGGGTTCTTTGTTTTCCGGTTGATGAACACCGTCTTCTGAGTTTCAACTCTCTGTTTCATTTTCTATTTTCGCATCTGATGTTTGTTCCCTGAATGCGGAGTCTTCTGGACTAGTTAGTAAAGAAATTTCATGAAAATTGTGATCATTGACATTGATCTCGAGCATAATTTATCTGAAAAAGGACCCAGCAAAAGTAAAGAGAAGTGATTCCGTGATGGTTTGTAGACGAGGAAAGAGCGTTGTCTGCACAAAACACGCAAGAGAAAAAGAACAGATTAGAGCTGAGACCAGAGGATTTAGTTCGGCTCGGTGTAACTAAAGATTTTACTTTTGTTGTTACCCTTGTCAGGAATTTCATCTTTCTCAGACATATCATGACGGCCTTCTCAAGCTTCAAGCGAAAGAGTATGAAAAGGCTCGAGAGCTGTTAGAATCCGTCCTCAAGGATCCTCTTATAGCCAATGCTAAAGTAATGAGCCTTGTTCGGGTTTCCTCTCCATAATTGGCTTCTTTTATGGAACTTAACTTCCATTTATATTTTTGCAGGTCGAGACTACTACTGCCAGCGACAGTCATCTACATCATCTCAGGTGATGCTCCTACTCTCATATTCATTAACTATTCGTTAAATGTCTGGAATCGATATTTTGGATTTCAATTATATTATTGTTGCTTATTTCTGTCAATATGGTGATGTCTCTACCCTTCTGACGAAGGCGGAATTGAACCAGTTCACAGCAATGTCTTGCTTCCTGATAATGTTAAATATTTTCTAATATGCACAGATGCAAATATCTAGCGGTGGGCATCATTTTCTATATGGTTTTGTGCAGATTTTTGTCCCTGAAAAACCTTGCTACTGTGTTCCTTGAGTTAGGTTCAGATCATTATGAAAGTGCTCTGAACTGTTATCTTCAAGCTATAGAAATAGATGCAAAAGACTCTGTGCTGTGGAATCATCTTGGAACCTTATCTTGCTCAATGGGATTGCTGAGCATTTCACGTTGGGCATTTGAACAGGGACTTCTCTGCAGTCCCAATAACTGTACGATTCTTTCTCTTTGTTTATAATTTGGTTTCTCTGCACACACACATATCTCTAGTTGGCCACAGTTGAAGGAATTGATGAGTCCGATACTTCTTGTCATCTTCATGTAGTTGGTATCCGATACGTGCCTGATATCTTCAGCAGTGGATTTTCATCAACCATTAGTCTCTATCTCTCACCCTATATGGTTATCTTTAGTATTATTACCCCTCGTTACTTTTGTTCTTTCTTCCCCCCAAAAAAAGACTTTGCTATTGGACAGGGAACTGCATGGAGAAACTTCTGGAAGTCCTCATTGCCATTGGTGATGAAGTTTCCTGTCTTTCAGTCGCAAATTTGATTTTGAGGAACTGGCCATCTCATTCTCGTGCTTTGCATGTTAAACATACTATTGAAGAAACAGATTCAGCTCCTTTTGCTCCCAAGGGAATAGATAAGCTTGAACCTAAGCATGTTCGTTTGAAATTTCTCGGCAAGAGAAAGGCATCCGAAGTAAATCAGGATGAGGGCACTGCCAAAAAGCTGAAAGAAAGTGTAGAACTTGAACTTTCTGAAGCTTCATGGGTGGCCCTAATTAATGCTCTACTTGGAATACTACATCCATCTAGTGAAACTGTGGGCAGATCAGCTGATGTACCAGTAAGCATTGAGTTTCCTTTTGCCACAGAAACTGCAATGCAAGTTTTGGAGAAGAAGGGTCATCCTTCGAATTCAGATTCTAGTACGATGCATATCAGGGATTCCAATGCTGAGTGGGGAAAAGGTGGTACGTCTAAAGTAAAAGAGTCCGTGTTCTCAGAAGAACACCCACAGGAGAGGCGGAGTACTCGTCTCGAAAGGCTTAGAAACCAGAAACCTGAGAAGGATGGACTAGAATTTGACAGTAGTAAGGATCAGGATCCTGCCAGAGGCATCCTTCAATATCTAAAGACCTTTGTCCGTGAAAAACAAGGAACCGTTGATTCTGTTGGTTCTTCTGGTTATTCCTGTCTCAGCCAAACTAGTCTGTTTTGCGAACACAACGATGTTGCTTCTTTTGTGAGGGTAGCATCAAAAAACTGTGGTGCTTACCATATTAGTCACTTGCTCCTAGAGTTTGTTGCTAGTAAATGCAAAACTCTTGTGTCTCATAATGCCATCATCAAACTTTTGGAGTTGGAAAAGCTCACAAGGCATTGGGGACGAGATCGGAAACCAGAATGCAGTCTTTTTCTTGCTGAGCTGGTGTATGACCTCGGTTCTATGCCTTCAGATTGTCCTGATCAGTCGTCACCCATGATAGAAGTATCATATCATCTCTGTAAGATAATTGAATCTGTTGCTCTTGATTATACTATTGACTCTACATCAGTCTCTTGGGAGGAGAGTTTTTTGGACACTTCATTGAAGAGTTCTCAGGGTGATAAGACCACTGGGAAAGGGTTAGATTCTGATATGAGATCCTTCTGGGCTCGGTTCTTCTGGCTGAATGCACAGTTATCAATCTCTGAGGGTAATAAAGCTAAAGCTCTCAATGAATTGTTGAATTGTTCTTCATTGTTGGTAAAGGAAGGTGCTGATGAATTGCCTTTCCAAATTCATCTGCCTCATTGCAGAAACATTGGTCAGTTGAACATCAATCTGATCGTACATCATATAAATTTGCTGAAGATTGATTTCCTGTTAGAGAAAACTATAACTGAGATGATCGAGAAAGAAGCTTATTCAGAGTGTGTAGATTTACTTGCACCACTTCTGTTTTCAAGTAAAGTAATGTCTCCTGCTCCTCTTGCTGTCCATAAGGATGAAGGGATCTCCTCTGCTGAATTATCGGCTCTGGATGTTCTAATTAAAGCATGCCAGAAGACTAAACCTATGGACATCGAGGTGTTTTTGAACTGTCACAGAAGAAAATTGCAACTACTCTTGGAAATTAGTGGCATGGATGAATGTTTTGTGTCATGCAAACCCTCGTATAAAAGTTCAATAGAAAACTCAAGTGAGAGGTGGAGTCACTTGGTGGCAGAGGAAATCAAGGCAATTTTGATATGTATCTCTCAAGTAAAGAACTTCCTTGACCAGTCAAGATCAATAGGCTCTGTAAGTCTGTTACTTTTTGAGCATGCATAGGTACAGTTTCCTGAAAAGTCTGAAAAGTTAATAATCTTAGTTTGTTCTGAATTCAATATACTGATCATGTTATTACAGACATATGTAGTAGAATTATAAAAGTACATGGTCATTTAACACTGCAATACGAGTTTGTTCAAGCTTGATATTCTGATCAACATCTGACCGTACTTTTGGCTCTTTTACCTGAGTGACTTGAAGACTTTAAATTTCAAACCAAAAGGGTGTATGTGTATTATCTTTATCACTGAATTTTAAAAGAGATGCTTATCTTCAGCAATTTCCTGGTTGTGTTTATTGAAACAAAATTTCTTACTTGTGCAGAATGGAGTGGTTATCCCGAAAAATTGCATAGCTGATATACAATCTTCACTTTTGACAGTCATGTCAAGTATTGTGAGACAGTTCCTTGCTAAGAAATGTTCTGATTCTCAAAATACTGACGCAACTGAAGAAAATCAGAAATCCTGTTTTCTGGATGCAGCTATTGTATTCTGTAAACTTCAACACCTTGATTCTACCACACCGACTAAATCTCAGGTATGTTTTGGCTTTTCTGCCTAAATGATTTAATAGTTAGGCTTCCTTCTGAACATAGTTGATAGTAGTACAAATTGTTTTTGTGAGACAAATTGAGAAATTTATAATTTATTATATAAGCAGTGACATTAAAAGCTGTCGTGGTAATGTTGCTTTCTAATCTCTATTTTTATCTGATTTTTCACTTTATTTCGTTCAGGTCGAGTTGATCATAGGATTTCATGACTTGCTTGCTGAGTATGGGCTTTGCTGCGCTGGTGAAAATGGCGAGGGTGAGCAAGGAGCTTTCCTCAGGTTTGCTATTAAGGATCTTTTTGCGATGGATGTCAAAGTTAAGCCCAATATTAGCTCTTCCG